GCTCAGACTCCTTTTTAATTTATTTTTTATTTTTTTTACTTTTTTTTTTTCATGTAAATAGAAACTACCTCCACAGATCAATTTATCGCGCCAAATTTAGCAAGTTTGCAAAGTTTTATAAGAATCCGTTGCAAACTCATGGAAATATGGGAGCTCAAACTTGGTGACAAACAAATGTATGGCGTGAAAACACATCCCCTCTAGTGGTATACATTTCTTTGTTAAAAATGGCAAGTTTTGGGTCCCATATTTCCACGAGTTTGCATCGAATTTTCTTAAATTCGGTGTGCTGAATTAAGCGCTGAGGCTTACTTTTTTTTGAGTTAAAAAAAAAATGGAAAAACGTGTTATTGCAAAATTGGTCGATTCACCGTAGCTGGAGGAGAGGTTTTAACAGGTAAACGTTAAGCGTTTTAACTATTATATTTTTTTCTGTCTTAGAGACAATTTGCGGGAAAAAAGAAAAGAAAGTTTTAAGTTTGTATAATTTTCTTCATAGAATAACGCTAGCTCGCGAAAATTTAAATTAAGAGCTCTTTTCGCTAATATAATAGGACTATTCGCTAATGGGACCGAGAAGATTGACAACTTTTTAATGCATGAATGTCTGAACTTTGGTTTCCATGGATAAAACTGAGTCATCAAGATCCGTGGTACATTTAATCTTGAGCACAAAAACTCCGTAGGCAGTCGACGTTTGCTTCTTGACCAAGAAACACTAGACAACAAAATGCAGGGTACAACAATTCTCCTGCTAATTCTGTGCGTAGGTAAGAAAGATTCCATTCAAGATTCGCTTTTCTTTCAAGACTCTAACTGTTAGTTCATACTGTGCTTTTGGTTGATAATCAGCTATAATCACTAGCCGAATTGATATTGCTTTGAACAAATCGTTCCAAGGGGTGTTTTTTTCGTTATTATGCCACGTGTTAAATCATTGCCTTCTGTTAATTTTTTGTTTACCTACTGAGAAACGTTTTCAAAGGGCAAATTATTTTACAGTGATTGATTGATAATTCACTGTCTGAAATAGCAACTTAAGTATGACCAAAACAAAAACGGCGTGGTTTTTCCGTCGTTGGGTAATTCAAAGCAATTTACAGAGGCTCATAGATTTTAAACGAAACGTCGTTCAGTAAAAATACTGTCTGGCTGCGAGAAGAGAAGAAAGTCAAGGGAGACTAAATTAACGAATAGAATTTAACTAGAACGGATAGGTCTTTGCAAATTTCGTATGTTAAAGGGAACTGAAAGCAGCTTCCCTCATCCCAGTGACTTTTCAAAGCAGAGGCTGTCACCGTCCCTGTTTAAACTTTTAACAACAATTGTTATCAAGTAGAGAATGTTTTCTAAAACTTTGCTTGAAACAAAATGTGTTTACATACCGTGGATAGGGGCACCTAAATTTGCAATTACAGTGTAACAAGAGATAAATATGTTTTCCTGCCTTTGGCAACTTCTTATTTTCAACGTTATTCGTGTAAGAGCATCTTGTATATCGGTTGGGTTCGCAAGGAAACTCTTTTTCAGACAGGCCATTCCTAAAATGATATAACTACAACAATTAGATTTTGTCGACGTTGCCAAATTTCAAGGCTTACTCCCATGAATCTACCTTTAAAAAAAACTTCCAAATTAGGAAATAAAAATACCCCTATACAGATATTTATGGCTGTGATGATATCTTTTTCTGTCTTACAGACAATTTGTGCTTTGTTTTCAGTTAAGGCCAACAAATTATTTTTGTCGCGGCTAATCCCGAATGAAACTGAGACGAAGTCGAAGAAGCTGTTTGTTTTGTTTTATTTGTTTAGCTTCTCCTTGGCCGTGGATAAAAAAGCGCGCATATTACCTTTAACCCCTCTCAAGTAAGGGTGCGTTTCTTTAAGAAAATCCAAAAATAAAAAGAGCAACAAAAGTGTTCAGACATTTCGCGGCAGAATTCTCGTTTGGCGCTTCTTGGAAATATCCCCCCTCCCCTTCCCAAACAAAGGATTTGAAATAGAATAAGCGTTTAAATATCGCATTTTTTACTGCTTTTGTCGCCCACTGTAGGTTTTTAATCTGAGTTAACATAGGTAACTCACATCAAGAGAAAAAAAAAAGAATTGTAAATTGATTGTTTGCCATCACAATACCTTAACTATAGACTATTTTCGCCACAGATTCTAAAATTGCTGGCAAGCTTCATTGATAATTGCCTTTGGCTATTTTTCTTTGAAAGATATGCAGTGAAACCTGTATTAAGCGCACCCTATATTAAGGGGACACCCTCTTTCAAGTGGACACCAGCTTGAGTCCCAAACTTCTCTTCCAACATTTACTTTAAACTAAACCTACATTCAGCTTGCAAATCTGTTACGCGGACGCGGACACCAATTCTAAGCCATTTTGTTGCACAAAACCTGCGATAAGCAGACACCTCAACGGCTTTTTACTTCTACAAGCTCAGCTCAGACTCCTTTTTAATTTATTTATTTATTTATTTTTTTTTACTTTTTTTTTTCATGTAAACAGAAACTACCTCCACAGATCAATTTATCGCGCCAAATTTAGCAATTTTACAAACTTTCATAAGAATCCATTGCAAACTCATGGAAACATGGGAGCTTAAACTTGGAGAGAAACGAATGTATGCTGTGAACAAATATCCCCTCTAGTGGTATGCATTTCTTTGTTAAAAATGGCAAGTTGTGGGTCCCATATTTCCACAAGTTTGCATCGAATTTTCTTAAATTCGGTGTGCTGAATTAAGCACTGAGGCTTACTTTTTTTGAGTTAAAAAAAAAAAATGGAAAGACGTGTTATTGCCAAATTGGTCGATTCACCGTAGCTGGAGGAGAGGTTTTAACAGGTAAACGTTATTCGTTTTAACTATTATCTTTTTTTCTTTCTTAGAGACAATTTGCGGGGAAAAAGGAAAGAAAGTTTTAAATTTGTATAATTTTCTTCACAGAATAACGCTAGCTCGCAAAAATTTAAATTAAGAGCTCTTTCCGCCAATATCATAGGACTATTCGCTAATGGGACCGAGAAGATTGACAACTTTTAATGCACGAATGTCTGAACTTTGGTTTCCATGGATAAAACTGAGTCATCAAGATCCGTGGTGCATTTAATCTTGAGCACAAAACTGTGTAGGCAGTCGACGTTTGCTTCTTGACCAAGAAACAGCATAGGACAAAATGCAGGGCACAACAATTCTCCTGCTAATTCTGTGCGTAGGTAAGATAGATTTCATTCAAGATTCGCTTTTCTTTCAAGACTCTAACTGTTTCATACTGTGCTTTTGGTTGATAATCAGCTATAATCACTAGTCGAAATGATATTGCTTTGAACAAATCGTTCCAAGGGGTGTTTTTTCCGTTATTAAGCCACGTTTCAAGTCATCGCCTTCTGTTAATTTTTTTTGTTTACCTAGAGAAACGTTTTCAAAGGGCAAATTATTTTACAGTGATTGATTGATAACTCACTGCCTGAAATAGCAACTTAAATATAACCAAAACAAAAACGGCCCAGCTTTCCCGTCTTTTGCTAATTCAAAGCAATTTACAAGTGCTCATAGATTTTCAACCAAACTTCGGTCAGTAAAAATGCTGCCTTTGGGGAGAGACAAAAGCCAGGGGAGACTAACTTAGCGAATAGAATTTAACTAAATCGGATCAGTATTTCGTCCTTTGTAAATTTCGTATGTTAAAGGGAACTGAAAGCAGCTTCCCTCATCCCAGTGACTTTTCAAAGCAGAGGTGTCATCGTCCCTGTTTACACTTTTAACAACAATTGTTATCAAGTAGAAAATGTTATCTAAAACTTTACTTAAAACAAAATGTGTTTACGTACCGTGGATAGGGACACTAAAATTTGCAATTACAGTGTAACAAGAGATAAATATGTTTTCCTGCCTTTGACAACTTCGTATTTTCAACGTTGTACATCGGTTCGGTTCGCAAGAAAACTGTTTTTTAGACAGGCTATTCCTAATATGATTTAACTACAACAATTAGATTTTGTCGACGTTGCCAAATTTCAAGGCTTACTCCCATGAATTTTCCTTAAAAAAATTTCGAAATTAGGAAATAAAAATTCACCTATACACATATTTATGCAAGTGATGACTCATTAAACAGATACAACTTGTAAAACCGCATCACTTTCTTTTGCAAAACGTTTCAAGCAGCTTTGTTTTTAACGCCAATAAATTATTTTTGTCGCGGCTAATCCCGAATGAAACTGAGACGAAGTCGAAGAAGCTGTATTAATTTTCATTCGTTTAGCTTCTCCTTGGATGTAAATAAAAAAGCGCGCATATCACCTCTAACCCCTCTCAAGTAAGAGTGCGTTTCTTTAAGAAAATCCAAGAATACAAAGAGCAACAAAAGTTCTCAGACATTTCGCAGTAGAATTCTCTTTTTGAGCTTCTTGGAAACATCCCCACTCCCCTCCCCAAACAAAGGGGGTATCAGAGAATTATCGCTAGATTTATTTGAAATAGGATAAGCGTTTAAATATCGCATTTCATGTCAGCTGCTTTTGACACCCACTGTAGGTGTTTAATCTGAGTTAACACAGATAATTCACAATAAGAGAAAAGAAAGATCTGAAAACTGATTATTTGCCATCACAACACCGTAACTATACACTGTTTGCTCCACAGATTCCAAAATTGCTTACAAGCTTCATTAATAATGCCATTGGCAATTTTTTTTCGAAAGATGTATCATCAATCCTACATCAAAATCATTTCAGCATATACAATGTTTAAAGTAAGAGTAAGATAAGACAAGACTTCACAGGAGGTGGTTGCACAATGTGGAAAAACGCACCTGAAGCCGGTATCATGCGAAAAAAAACAAAACATCTTGGTCTTCCCGTGCGAAGATATATTAATTTTGTTGTATCAACCAGTGAAAGGGTGATAATTCGAGGACTTTATCAAATGATTTATTTTTATAGTAATAGCAAAAATAAATGCTAAACCTCTTTTTTTATTTCATTTGCAGGGTACTCATTGGCAGGTAACATTTCTCTTAATTTGAATTTTTAATTTCTTTAGAAAATAGATCATATTTCGAGTTTATTTCAAGTGTGCCAAGTGCGTTAAGTTCTGCCCACTATCAAATGATGACATTCCAAAGTTTTGTGACATCGATCTTAAGAGGAAAAAACAAACTGAGGAGAAAAAAGCAGCTTCCTCTAAACTCTTCACTGTCTGGTTTTCTACCATAAAGCCAAAACAAAGATATGTACCTAGTAAATGTTCTAAAAGTTAACACTTTTAGGCCGTAAAAAAAGACTTTCCCATGTCTAAGCATAAATCATGATTAATTCTCCAATGAACTCTAGACCCATGCGATGTTAGCCCTGACGACCGCAACGATTGTGGATGGTTCGGGATTGACGAGGATACATGCGAAGACAGAGAATGTTGCTATGATGACACCGACCACGGTCATGATACTAAGTACTGCTTTTATCCAACTGGTTAGTATACTGAAAACTTAATTCTACTAAAAAAGGGATTCAATCAAAAAGAAAAGGCTTAAAATTTTCTCAAACTTGTCCAATTTGTAATTATGTTATGCTATGAATCTTACACAAATGCAACAAAAACGGAGGTAGGGAAGGCCAGCCAAGTGGCCCATCAGGCCTGAGCTTATCCCGGTTTCTGAAGCATGAAGTGACTAGGAATATTTCTACTCCCCCAGGATGGGATATTAGTCCATCGCAGGGTTACCCCCAGCATTAAATTTGTACGTACCCATTTATACACCTGGGTAGAGAGAGGCACTGTGAGAGTAAAGTGTCTTATTTAAGAACGTATCTGGGGTCGGGCACACTAACCATGAGGCCACCGCCCCTCCAAACACGGGGGTTACCTGGCTCTTTTTGCACAATAACACCCTCAAGTTTTTGCTCATGTGGACGACAGTTCAACTGGCTTTTCATCACCTTCCACGAAAATACGGTCAAAATATCCACGCGACGCACGTGGTAAGGTGACTGGTTACCATGTCTAAATTAATTTGAGAACGATTGCCTTGGTAATAAGGTCTATATGGGGATTAACACTCTCTCCTTCATCCTCTCTCAATAACTCTAAAACAGTTGAGGGTGAATTAGTATAATAGTGACTATTTTCATTACTTTCGTGCCCTTTCGATTTAACCGTTTCAATCTTTAAACTGCTAAAGGCAAGTTTTCACCAGCGTATAATGATAGCAACATACACAGAGGCTTTGGAAGTAATATTCAACATTTTACTGTGTCTAGATATGTTATTTACGCTTATCCAATCATATTAACTTTTCAGGGAATTTATCATGGCGTTGTCAAATATGCCGCTGAAAAAAGATCGTTTGCTACCCTTACTACTCATAGATATCGTCCGTTTCATTTCAAACATTTACATTTATCTCATTAATATTCAGCAATAATATTTTCTGTTTTTGCAGATAGCCCGTGTTACGGAATTGACCCAGAAAAACGAATTGACTGTGGCTATTATGGCATACAACGTGATGAATGCGAGAAAGTCCGAAAATGTTGTTTTGATCATACAGTGCCAGATGTACCATATTGTTTCTTTGGCAATCAAGGTATGTATGTCGGTATTTAGAATTTGTGTCCAAAATAAGTAGGACTTGACAACTACGTCTCTCCTTTTCATCTGAATGGTGTAGCATCTAATTCGTTCTAATATCATCTATCAATGACTTACTCTCCTATATAGCTGACACATGCAGTATTAGACTTGAAGATCGCACCGACTGTGGATGGGTGGGCATAAGCGAGGACACATGCGAAGACAGAAGCTGTTGCTATGACGACACTGACTATGGCAGGGATACTCCCTATTGTTATTATCCAACTGGTTAGTGTGCAGTTAATAACCAAGGTTAATACAAATCATTTTCCTAAACTATCAAATGCGGAAAGAATGTATATTGACATTACTTAGATTTTCGCTTAAAAGTACTACTACTGCATACACCCAATTCCCTTGATTGTAATTTTGTTATCTCATCAAGTATCAGTAAATTAACAAACATTAAGTTTGCAAACAAACTGATTAATGTCACCCGATATATTCTTACATATCGTATAGGCTTACTGTCAGCATCTTATTTTCTTTAATTACTTTCGGTTTTTCGTTGTGTAGATAGCAAATGCTACGGGATTCCGCCAGAAGAACGAAGCGACTGTGGCGAACTTGGGACAGACCGGGATGAGTGCGAAAACGAAAAGGGTTGCTGTTATGTGCCCGATTCAACACCCGGTGTTCCTTGGTGTTTTCATGGGAAAAAAGAAGATAAATAAAAGGCTTAGCCCAGCTGATAAGGTACGAAGAAGCCATATTCACTTGGATTTTCTGTCACGATGTAAAAGGGACTAGCACGATCAAGTAGTTATCCAGTATTTTGTTTTGTTTTGTTTTGTTTTTTTTGCGAATTCCTTTTGTTAACCATCTCAAGCTAAGGCATGACTTGTTCCTTGCTAAGATCCCCGCGAAGTTTAAACCATTTTCTTACAGAAACAACGTTGTCTGTTACCCCAGGTACACCAAAGGTAACCGTCAATAGGCATTTAGTGCCCTATCGCTTACGATATTTTTATGGTGGTCACGTTTCTAATGACGTCATAATCTTGGCAATGGTAAAACCTCAAATGGGGTGGGAATGGTCAACTTAAGCGAAGTATAAGATATCACTTATTCTTTGCCTTCACTAAAAGAAACCATCCCTTGAAAGATATTAAGAGACAAAATATGTCACGTAACCTGTTTTGCTATTTTTCTCTTAAACGATACATCCCTGTCAACCATTCCGATCATAATCGTAAAAGGGACAGCAAGAAAATCACTATAACATTTTCAATTTATGTTCATTATATTGTATCTCGCCACTAGGCCATTTTCAATTTTCTTTAAATCCAATCAAACATTGATAACAGCTCATGTGACCCAGCTAATCAACACAATATATTATGTTAGTGTTGCCAAGTTTTGAAGGTGTTTTGGTTAGTCGCTGAAAAGTTATGGCTGTTTTCAGATTTTAGACAAATTAGGCTGTGAGCAATGCCTCAATTGATGAGTTGTTAATACTTAGTCTTACAAGCAAATTGATATCCCAAGAAAAAAATCATTTCTGAAGTAATAGCAAACCTTGCAGACAAGAATATCCAAACATATCTTTAACTTTTAAATTCGCTTTTAAATTTTTCTTCACAGCCTGGCTTACTGCAGATGCGGTGAAACATGGGGAAAGAATAAACGGTTGTAGGAGTAGATTGGTTACTGAATAAAGATAAACTGAATCAAACAGAAGTCTTTATTTCCTTAACCTACAATGCGACTAGACCGGTTTTCAAATGTGCGTCAAATGACGAAACTGAGATAATCACTCTGGCAAATCACAAAGCACACGGACAATCATATCCAGTGAGCCAATCAAAACTCAAGCAAATGCAGTTAACGTGGAATGAATGAAGAAAACCATGTGCGTGCGAGTCGGGACCGGTTTTGCTTTCAGGTCCGACTGGATGACAAAGTGGCGTGATTTTTTTTTTCACGCCAGTCTCTTAAAAGCAGAAATGTAATAGTAAAGCAAACGTAAATTGAATTGCTTTCGACTCTCAAGTAACAAAAAAAACACCCTGATAGCCCCTTAAGGACGTTCGCGCTAATTGTTTCTGCGCATGCTTACTGCGCACGCAAATTCACACGCCACGTCATGCATCGAGCGCGCGCGCAAAGTACTAAAATGGAAAATGATAGGGCAGATGGACATTGCTATAGCTTTGCGTGGATTTAACGATCTTGGAAGTTCGGTGACCCCTACTTTTCTTTCCAGAAACAAATTTTATTTACAATTATCTCCACACTGTCCAAAAATGAACAAAAAAAATCAATGTGGGAAGTTAAAAAACATTTCAAGATTTCTGTCCACGGGACCTCGAATCCTGCCTTCTTGCAGCTGCAAGGCGCTTGAAACTAAGGTCACTAAATGCGAAATTGTTCTTTTAAGAACCTCTGCAGTTGACTAAATTCACTTTGGTAATAGATACATTTAAACAATATTTGGCAGAGAGCATTTCACTTCGAAGATCTAATTCAGCAATATATTTGGGCTTACAGACACTGCGGCCTTAATTGCTCGATAACGAAGCCCGATTCTTTCAGATTTAGGGTGTTCTTCCGGGCATGTAATCTCCAAAGCGAAGTCGGTGACCCCCATTTTTTTCACATTGCTGACATAGCTAACTCATCATCTTACAGCGGTAAAAGGCTCAGAAAAAAATCAGTGTTGGCAAATTTTTGCACCAACGTCCTCAAAGGGATAGTTTCATGGTTTGGCGCATTTCCAAGCTGTCACATAAGCTAAAGTACTTTTTACGCCTTAAAATTGAGTCACAATGTAGCGCAGCAATCACAGACTATAATCTAAGTAAACAGAATGACTGGTGCCCAAAATTTTGCGAAGATACAAAGGATTTCGAGTAATGTCCCATTTAGTTTGGAGCGTCGAATTTTTTAATTGAGCAGGATTTTTTCCTGGATACTCTGACAGTATTCGAAAAATCTGGGTGTTGCCCCGAGCTACAAGGTCAAGAATAGCAAGTGCCACGTGTTACGAAACTAATAACAGAATTTCAAGAAATAATCCTAGGACACTGGGACCGTTCTCTAAGATCATCATCTCTTGCTGAATTTGAAAAATGGGGTCATAAAAGAAAATTCATTACCATGGTGAGTTTCAAAAGATTCCGTCTTGGTTTTACCACTTGGATGTGTTGGATGTTCAGTTTTGAATGATTTAAAAGAACGACATTTTTGCACTTTGCATTTTTCTTTTTTTCAACTAACAATCAGCTGGCCAACAGATACGAATGGATGCTTATCATTTCGTTGACGTTCGTAATGAAATACCGTGTTAAAGGTGTCCTCGTCAAAGATAGAAAGACAATGGAGCGATTTCCAAAATTCTCGGAGGTCCCTGGTTCAAATCTTCCGCCCTACCGCTATCTGGATTTGTTCTCGGTAGCCCCGAGTTCAACTCCTCGGCCGCGTTGTGTAAATAGCCAACTG